ATAGGCTCGATTCTGGTCGGTTTGATCGAGAAAACGCAAGATATAAAGGTGATGAAAGCTATCACGAAGATGCTCGAAGAGTGGATGAAGAATAAAAATCCTATCGCGATAAATCAAGCGCCCAGCCTTAGAGAGAAGTCGATACTTTTGGTCAAAATGATGCAATACGTGGAAAAGCGTTTCCCCGATGATTTAGAGTTGAACAGGCAATTTTTAGAACTGGTCAATTACATATACAGAGACGAGACTCTCAAATCATCCGAGTTAACGTCGAAATTGGAGCCCGCTTTTCTGTCCGGCTTAAGATGCGTTCAACCTCAGATACGAGCCAAATTCTTCGAGGTGTTCGACGCATCGATGAGGAGGCGACTTCACGACAGACTTCTCTACATTATCTGCAGCCAAAGTTGGGACGCGATAGGTCCTCACTACTGGATCAAACAGTGCATCGAGTTACTTCTCGTCACTGCTAATTCGACCACTCAGATACAAATGTCGAATCAGGATACTTTGCTGCCGAGCATAACTTCTGTGATAAACATGGCCGACAGCGAGGAGCACAAGAATTTTATGATATACAGCTCTATAAAGGAGGAGCCTCAGGACATCTCGGAAGCGGCCGACGTGAAAGATGAAATACTCGATATGGACTTGTCCAACATAGACTCGACCACTGTTCCAGAAGAGATAATCACTACTGGAAAGGCAACGTTAACGCAGTTAATCGCCAAGCAAGGTGAATTCATAGAATACGCGAAAAAGATCAGAACGGAACAATTGTTACTGGCTACTGCTCAACTTTGTCACATGGACACAAATCTGGCGGAACGCGTTTGGTTGGATACCTTTCCAAGGATTTGGAGCATCTTGGACGAGCATCAGCATAACACGTTGATAGCGGAAGTGGTGCCGTTTATTTGCAGTGGCACACACGTGATTCAAAAGGATTGTCATCCCAGTGCTATAGCTACTTTCGTCGAAGCACTTTCGCACTGCAATCCTCCGGTGCCTATGAGGCCAGCATTGATGAAATATCTAGGAAGATCGCACAATCTTTGGCACAGGATGACTCTTAGCTTGGAACAAATGGCATTCGACAATGGAAACAATCAGTTTAAAATTAAAAGAGAATCGGATTGCTACGATTTCGAACCTGACAACAGTCCTCATGCAGAGATCTTGGATTCTCTGTCCGACATGTATTCTTTGTTATGCGAGGAAGACATGTGGTCCGGTCTCTGGCAGAAACACGCTCACTACAAGGAAACTTTGCAGGCAACTGCATTGGAACAACAGGGATTCTTCGAGCAAGCTCAGGGAGCTTACGACGTGGCCATGACGAAGTTCAAACAGGATTACGTATCTACGCCTGCTCCCTTCAAAATACAACGAGAAGCGATGCTCTGGGAACAACATTGGATAAGGTGTGCAAAGGAGTTGAATCAATGGGATTTGCTGTTAGATTATGGTAGCAAAAAGGCAGAGAAGAATCCCTTCTTGATCTTGGAGAGCTCTTGGCGTATTCCCAATTGGACGATGATGAAGGAAGCTCTTGCTCAAGTGGAACACAATTGTCCAAAGGAAATGGCTTGGAAGGTAAACACATTTTCTCTTCCTGATCGTTCGAATAATTAAATTATTGTTTTTTTCTCTTTCTCTCTCTCTCACAATTGAATTTTTACAGGTGAATCTTTATCGAGGGTTCTTAGCGATATGCAACAGCGAGGATCAACATTTAAATGCAGTGGAACGATATGTAGAGCTTGCATCTGGTTTGTGCATGCGTGAATGGCGTAGGTTACCTCATATCGTGAGCCATGTGCACTTACCGCTATTGCAAGCCGCCCAACAAATTATGGAGCTTCAAGAAGCGATGCAAATTCATCAAGGATTGTTACACGGAAGAAGCACGTCGTTGCACGATATGAAAGCTATCGTGAAAACATGGAGGAACCGATTACCCGTAATAGCCGATGATTTGAGTCATTGGTCAGATATTTTCACCTGGCGACAACATCATTATACGTTTATCTCAAGCCACTATGATTCGCAACAAGATCAAACGTCCAATCACTCGATGCTCGGTGTTCACGCTTCCGTCCAAGCGATTATTCATTTTGGCAAAATAGCTAGGAAACATAATCTTTGCGGTGTATGCCTGGATTCTTTGTCGCGAATCTATACAATACCCAGTGTCCCTATTGTTGATTGCTTTCAAAAAATCCGGCAACAAGTAAAGTGTTACCTACAAATGGCATCGGTTAGTGGAAAGAACGAGTTACAAGAGGGATTGGAGGTTATCGAATCGACGAATCTGCGATATTTTACTAAGGAAATGACGGCAGAATTCTACGCTTTGAAAGGAATGCTGTTGTCGCAGATAGGTAGATCTGACGACGCTAACAAAGCCTTCTCAGCCGCTGTTCAATTGCACGACACATTAGTGAAAGCTTGGGCTCTATGGGGCGATTATCTGGAGCACATATTCACGCGTGATGCACGTCAGATTTCTATTGGAATCTCTGCCATCACTTGCTTCCTTCATGCGTGTAGACATCAAAACGAATCCAAATCTAGAAAATATTTGGCGAAAGTTCTGTGGCTGCTCACTTATGACGATGATAAATTCTCTTTGATGGAAGCTGTGGACAAATACGCTGTAGGTGTTCCTCCAATTCAATGGTTACCCTGGATACCTCAATTATTGATGTGTTTGGTCAGACACGAAGGAAATGTCATCCTAAATTTATTAAGCCAAGTTGGAAGAATGTTTCCACAAGCTGTGTACTTCTCCATCAGAACTCTCTATCTTACGTTAAAGATTGAACAACGTGAAAGGTATAAGAGTGCGGAATTAGCTGCTGGAAAGAATCAAGAAGGTGTGGAAGGCCGTGGAGCTGCAGGAAATGTGCAGCAACAAGGAGTACCTGAAACGGGACCAATTCGAGCCACACCGCCTATGTGGAGGTGCTCGAAGATCATGCATATGCAAAGAGATATTCATCCTACTATTTTATCTAGTTTGGAAGGCATTGTAGACCAAGTTAGTTACTTATATAAATTACATTTTCTCTATATCACTACAAATGGATAAAACGAATACATTGATTAAATTATTTCAGATGGTTTGGTTCCGAGAAACTTGGTATGAAGAAGTCCTGAGACAATTAAGACAAGGTCTAGCTAAATGTTATGCCATAGCTTATGAAAATCGTGGCGCTGTGAGCGAAGCAACCATAACTCCACATACGTTGAATTTTGTGAAGAAATTAGTCTCGACCTTTGGCATAGGAATTGGTAAATTTCGATATCAAGTTTTTCCATTTGTCTAAATGATTAGAATCTGTGAAAGAAGAATTTTTCAAATTCTAGAAAATATATCCTCCTCTCAAAATGTGAACAACACGTTCGGCTCGGCGGCTTCAGAGTCTCTAGCACGCAGAGCTCAAGCTACGGTCCAAGATCCCGTTTTCCAGAAGATGAAAGGTCAATTCAAAAGCGATTTCGATTTCACTGTACCTGGGGCAAGATTACTTCACAATCTAATCAACAAGTTAAAGAAATGGATCAAGATTCTCGAAGGAAAAACGAAACAATTACCGAAGTAAGTAGTATCGTTTTGTTCACAAATCAATCTTTCACAAATCTTTTAAAATAAATTTAAACCGTGATTTATATCGATATATTGAACAGGTCCTTCTTGATCGAAGAAAAGTGTCGATTTCTTAGCAACTTTAGCTTGAAAACTGCCGAGGTAGAACTTCCTGGCGAATTTCTATTACCCAAACATTCTCATTACTACGTAAGAATAGCCAGATTCATGCCAAGAGTTGAAGTTGTTCAACGACACAATACAGCAGCTAGAAGATTAAGAATTCGTGGACACAATGGACGTTTGTATCCTTATTTGGTGGTCAACGATGCCGGACTAGGTGATGCAAGACGCGAAGAACGCGTTCTACAACTCTTGCGAATGTTGAACCATTATTTGGCTAAACAAAAAGAGACCTCAAGAAGATTCTTACACTTCACTGTTCCTCGTGTAGTCGCGGTTTCACCACAAATGCGACTAGTCGAGGATAATCCTGCTTCCATTTCTTTACTAGACATTTACAAACAAGGCTGTGCGAAATTAGGTATAGAACACGATGCGCCTATAGCTAGGTATTACGATAGATTAGCAACAGTACAAGCTAGAGGTGCACAAGCGAGTCATCAAGTTTTAAGGGACATATTGAAAGAAGTGCAGACAACAATGGTTGCCAAGACCATGCTTAGAGATTGGGCGATGAAAACATTCCCTGGTGCAACGGATTATTGGACTTTCAGAAAAATGGTAATATATTCCTCATATGCGCTGAAAAATTATCATTTCTTGTATAAATTGCTTCATTTATTTCTACATTTTATAGTTCACTCTACAACTTTCTTTGACCTGTTTTGCGGAGTATGTGCTTCATCTAACAAGATTGAATCCAGACATGATGTATGTGCATCAGGATTCAGGACTGATCAACATTGCTTATTTCAAATTCGATGTTGATGATACATCCGGTGAATTGGATGCCAATAGACCAGTCCCCTTCCGATTGACACCAAACATTTTGGAATTTCTTACCAGTACAGGTGCGTGATTTATATTATTTTTTATTATTATTATTGTTATATTTATTAATATTATAAAATATTGTTCTTAAGAAAAATTTTTAATACACAGGTGTTTCCGGACCATTAACCGCGAGTGCTATTGCTACAGCTCGCTGCTTAGTTCAACCATCTTTTAAAGTACATACGATTCTTCGTGCAATTTTACGAGATGAAGTAATCGCGGATCATAATAAGAAACAAGAAGATGCTGAAAGTTCATCACAAACCCCAACGGATATGAAAGGTGAACTTTTAATAACGATGGTCACTCGAGCAGTTAATGCAATCGTTGGAAGATTGAATTCTTTAGCCAATTTTGATGGAACGGACAGTAAAGTCAGCACTCTGGTCGCAGCAGCTAATAGTCATGATAATTTATGCAGGATGGATCCCTCTTGGCATCCATGGTTGTAACCACATTTTCTTGGGAACTACTCGTGCTTCCAATATGAAAAAATATAGAAAAATTGATGCATATGAATGATTCTCGCAGAAATCATATGCAGAACTTATATTATTATTTTATTTCTATTTTCATTGCGAAATTATTTGATTTTAATCATAAAAAACAATTATCTTAACTTAATTATTAACTTTGAATCTTTATACTTGTACGATTTTTGCTTGAATTTCAATTATTTTAATTCTACATCGGTCTTGAGTTTTATAAGTCATGTAAATATTATGTAGAAACATAAGAAACTATTTGCAAAGTGTGACATCTACGATTCAGTTAGAATGAGTCATTGAGTTATTTTAATCATTTATTCTCTTGTACGACGCAACACATGTTTATATCGTGTAAAAATTCTCACCTTGGGAATGTTTCACCTGTATCATTTACTGTATATACTATTTTTAACTGTAAGAGTTATTTACAATGACTTGTCAAAAAATGTTTATAAATCTAAAAAAGGAAAAGAAAGAGAAATAAACTATCCAAAATAATTACCTTTTCTCAATTGTGTAGTTAATTCTTTTACATCCCATTAATTATCAATTGGAAAAAAAGAAAATATTTAAATTAATTTCCTATTAAATTCATGTATTTGAAAATAATTATACAATCAATATCTCACTATTGTTTAAATTAAATATCCATCTAAAATTATTTCGAAGGTTTTAGATTGATATTTCTCAGCATACATAAATCACGTGCCGTTGCTTTTCTTCCAACTATTGTCTGAATGTCGTAAAACCTTAATAGAATATCAGTTGTAAACAATTCGGGTAATGCTTTCAAAAGGCAAGGTACCTTAAATAAATCATCAAAAATCAAAACATTATCTTTTAATCATTACCAAATTAAAATAAAAAAATAGATATATATGTATTAAAACTTACCAATGTTTGTGGCATTCCCTGTAATACAATACGAGTCCTATCTTTTCCACATTGTACCATTAAACGTAGAAATTGAAGTATAAAATGAGTTTGTTGAGACACTTCACCATCTCTACCAGCTAGGAACGTGAATATAGTAAACAATCCATTTAATGCTGATAGAAGAGGATCTCTCAACACAACTGATTTCTGCCCATTGGTCGATCCTTGAGCTTGTGGACTTTGTGAGCCAAATATAGGATTGCTATCTCCAGCTTCGTTTAATCGTAAAATTTTATTCGCAGGTACACCAAGAGCATCGAGTTCTTCCGCATCTAAATCCCGACGTACTCGTTTTCTACTATTTCCTCGACAAGGACTCGAATTATTGTATTCTAATGTAGAAAATATACAATATACGCATAACTTTGCTAACACTGAAGATTGCGGTTCTACGAGTTCTTCGCTCCTGTAAAAATTCATTTAAACATATAAATTCAATAAATATACCGAGAAAAATGAAATTATTTAATATATTTATAAAATATATTTGTAATATAAATAAAATCTTACTGTAACGAGTTATATAAATATTGTGGAATGATATGGTTGATGAGATCTAAGGTACAATTCTCGATATCAAGATGAAAAATGGCAAACGCTAAATCTACTGCTTGATCCAGTTCTTCTTGGTATCGATATTTCAATACTTCTTTTACTATATTTGTTACAAACCATAAAGAACCACCAGTATTTAATAAAGATTCTAAAGATTGTGTCGCTTGAATATTTATCCAACCTCGCTGATTTATGTTTCCCCACACAGTTTCCAATTGTTCCAATATAGGTTGTCTTGATATAATACTATCAAAAAATAAAAATTATAACATAAACATAAAAATTCTATTAATTAATAAAAATTTTAATATAATACCTGTGAGACATTGAAAGCACTTTCGTTTTCGATTGAGTAGGTGGATGAACATCATACTGCATTTTGCGAATGATTTGTGACATCAAACTCGATCTAAGAGGCAAACTTAATTTAATTAAGTAATGTAAAGTGTCTTTAAAAATTATTTATTCGCGTACTTACAATTCTTTGAGATTATCCTGCATTTCATCGCCGGGGAGTGGTGTTAAGAAATGTTGTACCATATTCAAAGGTTTTAAAAGAGCATCTTGATGAGTAATACTCATATGTGCACAAAGCCAAGCTGCCGCACAGACTGGTAAACAGCAAGCAGTTGCACGTAAACCATCCAGAGCTCTTTTAACATCACTTGCTCCAAGTACATCACTTTCCCACGCGCAGAGAAGCTCTTTTACAGCACCCATAGCAGATTGACACGCGATATGCCATTTTATATTGCTAGATTTCAAATCAGGATCTGGAGAATTGATTTGTGCTAATAATGCATCTACTCTTGCAGGATCAATATTTTGTAACATTTTTTGGGGAGACTTTGGTTGATTTCGTTCGGGCATATATTCACGTACCCATTGTTCAAAAAAGGAATCTCCTTCCCCTTCTTCTAATACAGCCTAAAAAAAGATATAAAAATTATTAATTTATATAAAAAAATCTTTATTTAACATTAGATGCAATCAAATGAAACTTACATCAGATCCATAAGTTTGAACTATAGAACATAGCATAAGAAATGATATATCGAATAACATCGCTCTTTTTGCTGCAGTCTTTGGTGGAACAGGTTCATTAATTTGCTTACTGCATTCATTGAACTTAATTAATTTGGTAACAAAAGTTTTAAGTTTTCCTTCTACAGTAGCTACTGCTAATATAAGTTCAAAACTGTTTCCTGTTAAAACTTGATATAACATGCTAAGCAATGCCTCGTGAATCTTTGTGTAATCTGCGTTAAGAGTTTTTAAAATACCCGATAAAGTCGGCTCTGCACGTACAATTACTTTAGGAATTGAAGATGTGGCTATAGAAATTTCTAATTTTTGTAAATTCGCGGTAACACCTTCTCTTCTGCTACTTAAATGTTTAGTTTGCTTTTCTGTGACTAAGTTTACTTTCTGCAGAGCATTGAGCAAACATTCTACACTATTACAAGAACACGCAGTATCTACTATATCAAGAAGTGGAGTGAATTGGAGTAATAATTCGAATGCATCTAGAATATCTTGTGAATATTCTAATTTATCATCTGTATTTGAATGTGCTACATGTAATTCTTTTAATATAAGAGGTACTTTTAAAAACGTAAAAGCACCCCATTGCGATTCATTGATTGTACTTGTAACATTGTGTAAGCACATTAAACATGCACGGATTATTTCGCAATATAATCTTGTATTTGTATAATTTTTAAGTCTTTGGACCATCAGCATCTGGTTAACAAATACAGAAGTTTCTGTGCTAGGATTTAATAACACTTGAACAGCAAATAAAGGTTGCAGGCAATGAGTTATAGATTCCATTTGTGACATTTCAGGGGATAAAGTTAAACAATCATCCTCTAAATTGCACAGTTTTTTTAAAGAATCTTCAATTTGAATAGAAGACTTTAGGCTACTAGTTTTCAACAGAGCCTCAATCTCTTGGCATTTTTTTACAACTTCTATGTACAAATCTTTATCATCATATTTTGCTAAGTACATCATAGCACACAGAAAATCAGAGCTAAGCATCTGTTTTAATATACTGGCAGGTTTATCCATCAATTCTGTTGGTTGCGGAGTTAATGGATTGTTTTGAGGCATTTTTGTTAGAGTATGTAAATAACATTGCAGTAACCAATTTACTATGGATAATACTGCAGCAGCTAAAAGATCTTCCTCTGGCTTACCACGGCATGTAATTCCTATTTGAATGGATTCTAAAAATTCTAAAAGACTTAGAATGCAATGGGGTTTATGAAATGCATCATATTTGCTTATTCGTTGTAATACAGCGGCATAAGAGACCAACTAAAAATTTATATATATAAATATTAATAATATTTTAAAATAAATTAATAATATTTTATTAATAAATTATATATACCTGAGAACTTAAAGAATGTTTCAGATATGATAATACTAATTGATTTGGTCCAAGTCCTACTAATGCTTGCTGCAATATGCAGTCTGCTAAATTATATACATCTCCACTAACACCTCTAGGTAAAATCTGAAAATGATATGATATATGAAAAATTTTTATGGAAATATACAATAGATACTTCTATAATCTATATATTACTTACAGTTTTAATGTTAATACCCCATTGTAAATCACTCCAACGTTCTCTCCATGCTCTTAACAAAAGAGCTTTCAAACTGCTGGTCTTACTTGTTACTTTAGTCTCCATAACTGATGTTAGGAGATTACACATAATTCCTCTTATTTAAGCAACATCTGTATATCAATATTAATAATTAATTTTGTCACAAGGATCACTTTTTATTTCATTAAAATAAATATGTATAAAATGATTATAATGAATCAATATAACCTAAAAACTATAAAACTAAGAAGATAAAATAATCTGTATTTAATTAAAAGTAACCATTAAAAACAAGTTTTAATCTTTTATTTTTAAATTATCATTTTGTATACCTCATATAAAAAAAATTAATTTCATTAATAAACTACCATGGTTGACATGTTTTCAAGCCATTTTCACACCATAACTCTTCTACAGCCGTCATGACTAGCGTCATGGTGTTACTGTTAGACAGGATTGCCACTATTGGCATAGAATCATATCTACTATTAGAATTTCAAAATTAAACACAAATCTCTACTCACTTCAAATAAATAATCGATATTTAATATATTCCCTCCTTCATATTTTTTATAAATGTCAAATTAAATAGTTACCGATAATTCATTGAATTCATATCAATAAAATTTTCTGTTTCGTATATACAGTTTATAACAAAATATATAAAACATGTTTTCAATCGAGTACATCTTTTAAAACGAATTCTTTTTCCACAATTTATTTAAAATTTCATGGATTTTTAAAAATTATAAACTATGATACATTATCAGATTTTATACTAATTTCGATTAAATTAAGAAGTTTATGTCAGGATTAACTAAAAGAAATCGAATGATAGAAACAATGGGTGTCTGCACAAGAAGAAGGTTATTAGTCCATACTACTACATTTTTTACATGGCCAGGATGGAGCTTTATAACATTACTAGTAATTCTAATAGCAATTGGAATGTTTTATTTTTTTGTTTATGTACGTGTAATATACTATGTACGTATTTTGTACAAAATTCAGTTATAAAATATTTTAACTTATCTTAATATTAATATAATTTTTATATATATATATATATATAAAGTTATAAGATTTAACAAAATTTACACTTTTTACAGAGACAAATGTATATAATCTGAATCTAAAGAATTAAAGCATATGCAAGAAATTTTTTAAATTATAAAAAAAATGAAAAATTTTTCGCTTCAAGTATTATTACATATACTTTCCAAGACTGAAACTTTTATAACATAATGATACATATAAAATAAAATTGTATAAATAATAAAAATAAAATGAAATTTTTCTGAAATGAACGACTTCAATAATTTTATTATATATATAATATAAAAAAGTACAAATTTTAAAGATTATGAAATAAATTTTTGATATTTTATATATTCTTTTTATGCAAAAATTTTTTATATAAAAAAAGATAAACATTTATAATTTCTTTTATTATAATTAAAAAAATTATTTTTCAATAATATTCTTCCAATTTTAATTCATGACTCAACATTCTATATGAAATGCGTCGTGCATTTTCATACAGTTTAAATTAATCAGTCTGATGCAACATCAGGGACAATGTATAACAATATCTTTGTTTTTAACAATATCTTTAAGATTTTGAATTCTTATTCAATTTTTCATCTTATTTAATCTTCATATTCAATCTTATCCACGTCTTAAACGTATCCATCGATTCTTTTTTCGAATATAAATTCTCGAAATCAAACTTTCATTCGATTTTCGAATAAAATTTAAATTTTTCCCAAGCGTAATTTACAAAGTAAAATTCAAAATAAGCAAGATTCAACCCTGTTGCCGCCTATTCGATTTATCGACCTATCACTTGCCAGAAGTTCCCTCGACCAATCATTTTGTTGGAAAGTCATAAGCTTTCGTGACGTAGTTATTGCCACGCTGGCAGTTCAATTGACAATATCGTGCCATAAATCGAACATTTGCACTATCTTCGAATAAAATAAACAGTTTGTTGCAGTACTGGTGTACTGAAGCTTGCATATAATAGTAAAAATTTCTCGATATGCTTAAAGGAGCATTGTGAGTGAATGGACATTGGATGTAAATGTTGAAGGTAAAAAATAGCAACCAATTTCGAAAGATGCTCTCTCGCTCACTTGGTGAGCAATAAGAGCCTCAGGGTGGGGCGAAGAGGCCGAATGTCTGTCCGACTGTCCGTGACGGGTTCCTTTCCTCCGTTAGTTGCCTGATGCGCTTTATCGTGTCTGAGTGTAACGTTGGTGCAGTGTCTAAAGTGTTTTTTTTTAATGGAAACGTAGTGATTGCAGTGCATTCTATGTAATAAACATATACACGTAAAGTGTACGATTGATAACCAACGAGGGATGTCGTCTACAGATATCAATCTGATGGATTTCCTTTTCCCAAGAGAAGACGCTTTCCTAAAAGGCGACATTAAGGACGAGCCTTTCATAGATCAAAGCTACAACGATGACGCCATCACGGTGAGTTTCTGATGCACGCTTTTATCACATTTTTATTATTTAGCTTTTTTTTTTCTTTCTAATAATTACTTACTTTCGAACCAGTTCTTTCGAGACTCCAAGAAAACTAGTTTCTTTTTACATACGAATATGAAAGGAATTATAGGAATAACTGGAAGCAGGTTTCTATGAACTATAGTTTGAATAGTTTCTTAGTTGAAAGGTTATACAAAAATAATCGTGATTAATCGGGAAAGACAATCGAGGAATTGGATAAAGTGGCTGGCTCATTAATATCGCGCTTCCCAAGTTCCCGGAATATCACACGCGAAAATAGGTCTCTTTTATGTAATTGAAAATTCGATATACATATGGAAAAATACCTATGTAAGAGGAATATAAATTTCAGCGAAGTCTGATTTCCTGATAAAGATAGGCAAAATATTTTTCAAGTTAAAAATGAATTCTATTGCAGCTTGTTATCAAGAATGTTAATACAATGAATAAGGTTGAATTCCTAAGGCTAGTGAAACCTTCAAAGATCGACTCGATGTTTTACGCAATGTTATCGATGAATATTGAAAATATGCGAAGATCGGCATGTGAAAAAGTTTCATATTTCGTCATATAAACAAATAGATCGTTTTAAGCTATGCATTTACTTCTCTATTATTATTCACTAATAATTTAAACTTAGTAAACTCTAAGCAAACCTAGAGAACTCTAGATGAAAAATTCTAATACGCTTGAAGTGCAAAAAGCGATGCTATTATACTTCATCACGATCTGTGCTACTTTCATCGCGTCTTTAATTCTTCATTCGACTAACGAGAGGATGGACCGACCATCTCTTGCTTTCATTACTAACCATTATATTCAATTACGCTCAACAAGCCACGAAGTAATCCATACGGAGAATATTATAGAATTATAGTTAATCATAGCCGAAACATAAAAGGACAATTGACGTGATATCGAATGTTTACGGTTACAGTTAAATTACGATTATGATTAACTATGAGTTCCTGTTATTCATTATTAATTCTTGTTAACATATGGTATACCCAGTGTCGATGTGCATGAATATTTGTCGTTTGTTATTTGCAAATTATCGTGTTTTAACAAATAATTTATCATTAAAATAATTAATATACAACAATATACAACAATGAAATACAATAATGAAAAACATAACTTATCAATGATTGAATGATTTATAAAATATAAAGAAATCGAAAAGAAAAGAAAAGTATTATTGTTTCTTTTTTTAATCTTTTTCAAGATGTTATAAAAATTATTCGATCTCTGTTTCTTTATATTAACTGGGAAATGTATGCGGATATTGTTATTATATAACCATATGTTTTTAACATATGGAATGGTCTAATGCACGTGCTCTGTGTGGTAGCCGCCATATTGGAATGTCTTCGATAAACACTTAATTATATATTTCATATCTCATTAAAAGTAAAAAGGATATTTGTTTACAAACAATCTTTAAATCTAAAAAGAATCGATTAAATTAATTAACTAAAATTAAATAATAATTAACATAATTCTTTTTTCAATTCTACGTAATCCTATGTAAATAATTCTTATTCTAATTGATATATAATGTTTTTATAATGGAGATAAATGTCTTTATGCAGAATCGAAACGAGAATGCAAGCACTCGTCATGGCGAACGATCTTCGAACGAAAAGTACCGTTACGTTACGGGACTCCATATGAATAATCTAAAAAATTCTGACCACTTTTTTTTCGAAATAATGAAACTTAATCGATTTGTATACACAAGTGTGCATACAAATTCTTGCATCTGTGTAATTATTTTTTATAATAAATTTAAAGATTAAACAAAAGTTTAATAAAAAATTTCCATAAAGATGGAGAATTTTTAAACATTTTTGATTTTTATTTTATTCGTTTTTATAAACGCGGAATATTTTTTAATGTTTTATTTAATTTTTATTTCTCTTTTTATCTCAAACATAAGGCCAACATCTGTCAATTTTAACAAGAAAAAGTCTCACAGAGAATTCTAAATTTAGGGTAAACACAGAAACATCTTGCATGAGATCACAATTTATTTTTAATTCAAAGAATATGGAATAATTCAACAAAAAACGTTAAATGTATAATTCTTGAATATTGATCGATATAAACCCGTTTAAATATCAAAAAAAAAAAAAATCATAAAATTCTGAAAAATAAAAACTATCGTAATATTTATAAATACATACAACTTACGTAAAAATGAAAATTCTGTGTAAAAATCATAAATCTAAAACGATTACTTGATAATATATGTATATATACGCAAATATAATTTATATATAAATTTAATTAGCATTTGAATGTATCAGACAATTATTTAGAATGATTCGCTTTTTTAATTCCTTTCAATTTTCTTTTTATTCATGATTTAAGAGGTATACCAGTGAAATCGTAAAATTCGAGCGAACCAGTGTTTCCACGCTTGACTATATTTACCATTCCTCTTGTGCTTGGAAACTAGGTTACTCGACATTGGGCAAATGCTCGATTCATCGCGAGCCGAGCGACAAGCGCCTCGACCATTTTTCAAGCTTCGCTAAGCCGATTAAGCTAACTTTCATCCAGATATCTAAGTGGAGCACGCATTAGCAAAGCTTGTTACTTCCATTCTAAATCTTTAGATCCATTGCAAATGCGACATCGTTGGCATTTCGTAACGATGGCATTCTATCGTGTGCAATGCACACAATCTTCTTATTAGAAATATAAAATGAATAATGTCATTGATAGTAGATCGTAAAGAAATTGAATAACTCGTCTATGTCGTGCCTAAAAACTGAGATCGTTTTATCGCGGTGCATATTCATCAGATCAATATAGACTCGATCTAAATGGAACGCTATATATGGAATAGAAACTAAAGA